CTCTACTCCGAAGTATACACAATTATCAGATATCGCTTTAAAAATGCTAAGAGATCAACTAAAATATGTTTCTTTAATTATTATTGATGAAATATCGATGATTTCTAATGTAACATTACTTTACATACATCTAAGATTAGTTAGCATATTTAATGTTGATGAATGGTTTGGAGGACGACACATAATTGTTTTTGGTGACTTACTTCAACTTCCTCCAGTACATGAAGATCCTACGTACAAAATTTTAGCATCTTCAGACGTGGAAAAATTAGTTGGATCTCTAAGTTATAGTAATTTATGGACTGATTTATTTAATTACGAAGAATTAACTATAAACATGCGTCAGAAAGCTGATAAATCATGCTGAGTTATTGTCTAGAATGCGTATAGGAGCAGTTACTGCCGATGATATAAAGTTATTAGAGAAAAGAAAAATTAATATCGATAGTTCATTATCATATCACGATAGACTGAATGAAATTTGTAATTACATCAACAAACTACCATCGGATACAGTTTGCTTAGTACCTACCTGTAATCAATGTGACTTAATTAATTCCGTAATGTTAGATAGGATTCAATCTGAAGAAATTGTACTTACTGCCAATGATCATATAGATTGTCCTAAATTTCTAAAAAAGAAAGCAGCTAATATTTTGAGTTCGATTGAAGAAGATGCAAGCCGAAGCGCTGGACTGCCAAAAATAATCAAAATAAAAGTGGGTGTAAAAGTAATGTTAAGACGTAATATTGACGTTACATTGGGTTTAGTCAATGGTGCTAATAATAATAATAATGTCCTCCAGACCGAATTTCGGTCACGGCGGCCAGCCTAAACGGAGACTAGCCATCTGCGCAGGAGAGGATTATAGTGCCCAAGTGTATGCGCAAGCACAGGTGCACTCTCTATTCCCTCACTCTCATAGTCCGATGGGACGGTAAACCGACACGACCGGAGAGAGATCAGGCGCAGGACCAACGGCTTAACGTGCTTTCCGAGGCACAGGGGTTAGACACCGCCAACTTCCTGACTCCGGGCAGCTACTGAGAATTTCTTGATAGAAAAACTCAATAACTGATTTTTTTTTTTTTTGGCCCGACCCGGGATTCGAACCCGGGACCTCATGATCAGCAGTCGCACTACTACAACCACTAGACCAACGAGGCAGTCAAAGTGCATATCATATATATAATGGTGCTATTGGTACTGTGAAGTCAATTTCCAAATCTATTGAGAGTAATGAAATTCAGTTTATTAATATAGATTTTGCAACTGGTACAGAATATGCTATTGAAAGAATCAAAGTAAAATTTTTAATTTCAGATAAAGCTTTTGTCGTAAGAGAACAGTTCCCGTTATGTTTGAGCTATGCTGTTACGATCCATAAAAGTCAAGGTTTAAGTTTAAAAAATGCTGTGATTGAAGCTGGCAATACTATTTTTAATGCTGTTCAATCTTACGTAGCATTCTCCCGAGTAACAAAAATTGAAGGAATACATTTAATAAATTTCGATCCGTATTCAATTAAAGCAAATACAGAGGCAATTGTAGAGTATAATCGGTTAAGAAAAACTTATAGAGCTGATCTCCCAGTCCTTTTAATTACAAAAAGACGTTGGTCTAAAGTATGGGATTTAATTTGGGGAGTTGAAAAATATTTCGATCAAAGTAAACAACAAAATATAATTAAAAGAAAGTCATGTATTAATTTCTTCAAATTCCATGGTATAGAAAATAGCGATGGTAATTCTAGCTGTATCAATTCTATTTTCCAGTGCATTTTTCATAGTAGTATAATACAATTATTATTAGAAAGTGAACATCAAAATACTGCACTCAGCACAGAGTTGTGCAAATTATTCCACATGTATACGATTAATAAAACAATATTAAAGTCTACTTTGATAAAAGAGAAGATATATGACCATTTAAATATAGATGACGGAACTAATCCTTTCGCAATACTTTCTACTTTATTCAGTAAAAATTATGACATTAGTAAGTTAGTGCAATACGAACTATTAAACACTGATCGTTGTAAGTCCTGTAATTATACAATCATGTCTAAAGAAGTTAATAACATTTTACCTCTCAAAGTTGGGAATGCTACTAAAGCTTTTAATTTACAAGAATTAATCGATAAACAACATGGACATTGGTTTAATACTTTAAAATTTTGTAACAAATGCCAGAAAGGACAAAATACTTATAGGAAAGTCACGTTTAATTCCTGTCAACAAATAATAGTAATCGCATTAAATATTTCTGTCGCTAAAATAAATAAAAATAAACAAACTGGCTTCATAAAATCTGTACCAACATCCAAAATAGTTCTTTGTGATAATTCATACAGCGTAATCAGTGCTATATTTTGTTATTATATAGACAATGAAATAAATCGCTATAGTGCAATAATAAAAAACAAATCAGCTTGGATAGATTTAGATGATTTAAATGTTAAATCAATACGATGGCCAACAAATTCAAAAAATGCCTGCATACTATTTCTTGAAAAGAAATGAATGGTATTTTACATCAAAGCTGGTATAAAATAACACAGCAGCCGATTAATAAGTCTTTAAAGTTATCGACACCCGCTAAGTATGTATACGTCTGTATCTGCCTGATGATGGTTTTTATTGCATTTATTACTCAATAATAATAAACGATTCTGAGAGCTCCCTTTCTCTTCTGCGGTAAATATAACAAGTCTTCCGATATTTTCGTATCTTTATAATATAAAGTTACAGGTAGTATTTTATAATATTTCGAAGCATTTCGAAGCATCCAACTTTGATATGGCATCTGACCGAATTTTAATGAGTGCCACTTACAATTTTTCTGGAGTATAATTGCTTTTTGTTCCATATTTTCTAACATTAGGCTTAACTTGAAAGGGTTTTCGCGGCATTGTACGTCAAAATAAAAAAAAATATGAACATAAGCTTTTTAACTTTTGGTAGCAACATTGAAAGTTATCCCATCTTAAGAAAATACTATCATGGTAACATTAAGCGATTCAAAGTTACCCAAAAGTTTAAATTTTTTCCGTGTATCAAACGATTATTAAATATATAGGTAAAATGGTTAATACATTATATGTTAACAAACACATTTGTATCTGCGTTTTTGTTATATTAGATAGTTATATTAGACGTTAATGGGCTAAAGCATCCACTAACACCGCCTTCAAAGAGTTTATTGATTCTCGTCCCCATGGTTTCTTTAGTATTAAATGTGCTAAAATGCAAACTAACATTGACAATTACAGTTTTTTTTTTTGTTAAATATATGTAATCTATATATTCCACAGTTTTGCTTCACAGTTCACACCACAGACTAACTAATAGATTATACTTAGTCTAATTACGTTCCAGTTCCTCGACTCCACCGAGTCAGTAATTCATTCTTGGGGCGATGTATACGCTTTTACAACTACTGTAATTTTTAAAATATACTAAATTTGACCTGCACAAAGTTCAAAAATTTTATTAAACTAAGTTTGTATAAAAAGGGTTATTATAATATTAAGGAATTTATGGATGACAATAACCCCTGGGAATGACTTGATCACTACCAAGCTATTTCTAAATTGTTGTGTTGTAAATTGTGTAAATGATTGTAAGATGTTATTTAAAAAATAGTCCCGCTGGGTTTCTTGCTGGTTCTTCCCAGGACAGAGGTTTTTTTCCGAACCAGTGGAAATTAAACAAAAGAGTGACTTTCAATAAGTATAATTTATAATCTATATTGAATAAAAAAGTTTCTGTTTCTATTTTTGTTTCTGTTTCTACCGAATGTCCACACGATACTTCTCTACTTGGATACTCTGGTACAGTTGTAAAAAAAATATTTAATTGTTATTATAGAGTTTTATTCAAAGTTACATTGAAGGACATTACATTACATTGGAGACTTTTTTTATTAAAAAAACCACTATTGTTATGAAATAAAATTCTTAAAATAATAAACAAAACCCGGTCTTGATACCTCAAAGTTTTCGAGAGTTATCGTGACCACGTAAAAACAATACGGCCGTCCACGGAATTATTTATTCCGTTTTCTTAAAGTAGCAAAATAAAATTGATTTATACAAAATATAAGATAGATTGATTAAATTTTCTTGAAATAAATCTAGTCATATTATCGTATGAGTGCAAATCAGTTGTAGATGTAGAGGTAGTTAAAGAGCAAAAAATTTCTGGACCTTGACGTGTTGAGAGTTAAAGCACAACCTAAACCGCTTCGCGGTATGAGGTGTGCGATACTTGCAAAAAAAAAAGAAATTGTGTACTTTACAAAAAGATATGATATCCGAACAAAAACAGTTTCACTGTAAAGCATCGCGCCAAGTACACTTTCAACTATAGTTACAAAAATAATAATTACATTTTTACAAAAAATTATAAAATAAAAAGAAACCAAGTACATACCCGTTTTAGATTCGAAAAAAAATTTTGCTGAAAAAAGTAATAATAAAAAAATGATGTACTTGGTGTGCATTATAGGTACTTTATAGTACGAGCATCACTCAAAAAAGTAATAAAAAAACGACTTCCAATGTCAAGTTGGGTGATCAATACTCTTAATCATGCACACCAAGTACACCATTTTTTTATTATTACTTTTTTCAGCAAAATTTTTTTTCGAATCTAAAACGGGTATGTACTTGGTTTCTTTTTATTTTATAATTTTTTGTAAAAATGTAATTATTATTTTTGTAACTATAGTTGAAAGTGTACTTGGCGCGATGCTTTAGGCCGTATTCAGTGCTCTCCTGACGGTCAGGACTGACGTCAGTCTGCCGTAGCTATCGCCATAGAAACCATGCGTGCATTCAGAGCAGCACTGACCGCGTCCGCATACGCAATACTGACAGAGACGGTCAGTCGAGCGCGTCGGTGCTGCGTACGTCAGGTGACTGACGCGCTATGCAATGCTTCAGAGCATTTAGTGCGTTGCGGAAGCGGGACTCGAACGGACGTTAGCGTGTACAATCATGTCGAAACATAACATCGACACTGAACGTGTGATAACAGAAGTTCGAATAAGACCACCTTTGTGGGATCTATCTCACGATTTATTCAAAGATAAAGATGCCAAGCTTCAAGCATGGTTTGGAGTGTATAAAGCTCTTTTGCCCGATTTTAATGATTTGTCTGAGAATGATAAAAAAGACTTTGGTAAGTAAAAAAATGTGTTTATTAAAAATATTTTTTATTGAATATACAAGTATCTAAATAATAACAATCAAAATATAGAATCATCTTGCCACGGAATTGCGCCAACTTCAGAAACAAAGTAATTAGCAAATTTATCTCTCAAAACATCACCGGATCTGACAACCGAGATGTTGTTAGTGTTGGTATTATTTTGAAATCCTTCAATAGTTAGCGTATCCTCAAATTTATAGCCATCTCTTTCTCTAATGTAGTTGTGCAAAATACAACAGGTTTTAACAAGTTTAATAGCATTCGGCAGTGAGTGATTTATTGAGCGTTGGAATATTTTAAATTTATTGGACATTATTCCAAACGTCGATTCAATGTACCTTCTCGCCCGACTTAATCTATAATTAAATATTTTCTTTTTATGTGTCATATTGCTGCGAACATAAGGTCTTAAGACTTTATTCGATATTCCAAACGCTCCATCGCCTATTAGCACATATGGCATTGGTTCAGTGGTATTAGGTAATGGCTTAGCACTTGGTAAATTTAGTTCTCCATTATGTAATTTTGTGTACAAACTAGTATTCTTGAAAATTGTTGAATCAGAGTCTGACCCACACGAACCAACATGTATATATGTAAAACGATACTCTGAATCACACATTGCTAGTAGATTGATGGAAAAATGCTTCTTGTAATTTAAAAATAAGCTACCGCTCTTTTCGGGACAAACAATTCTCACGTGTTTGCCATCTAGGCATCCTACACAATTCGGAAAGTTGGCAACCTGCTCAAATCCTGAAGCAATTTTAAGCCAATCTTCAGGGAACCTAGGGAGCGAAAGACATTCACTGTGAAGCACATTCCAAATAGTCAGGCAAACTTCTCGAACAATGAGACAAATAGTTGATTTGCCAAGTTGATAACTGAAATGTAAGTCCGAAAACGTTTGTCCAGTTCTTAAGTACCTGGAACAAAAAACACAATTTTTTTTATTTATTATTTACAGAAAAAAGTGTACAACAAAGATGGAGAACTGCGAGAGATGCTTACATGAGATGCAAAAATTCTATGAAATCTGTGAAATCGGGATCGGAAGGCGGAAAGAGAACCAAATACGTATTTTTCAAACATTTACAGTTTCTTGACAAAAAACATGTTGCCGACACCGAAGATTCTATTGAAGAAAATGAAACAAGAGAAGATACACAACAAGATTCAAATTTAGAGTCTCCAATCAATCCACGTTCTACTGAAACAGTATCCACCAATCCAGAAACCCAACCACAGTGTTCCAGCCAAGTTAGATAAGATTCTTCAAACACAACTAAACAATCTAGCTCTACTCCTAACACAAACCCATCAAGGAAGCGTAAAAACGCAAAAACTAATGAAGACAGCTACTTCGATAAAAACATCTTGGAGTTTTTAACAAAAAACAGCGAAATTATTCAAAATGACGATATGGCATTTTTTTATTCTCTTTTACCTTTAACACGGACATTCGACAATCGTCAAAAAGTTATGTTCCGTACTGCAGTAATGAATAAAGCCCTGGAAATTTGTAACTGCCCTTCGTCTATCACTCCTCTTGCTTCACCAATGTATGCATCTACCTCTCGCCCTGAATCTTCTACTTCCAGCATGAATATAGCATCACCATAATCTCTACCATCAGGATCTCAAGACATAGTTTTGTATTCAGTTGAAGAACCTTCGTCTCAAAATGTAGTGAGAACTAATCCAAATATCGCACATACATCACAAAATTCGGTAATCACATCTTTGTCTGCTTCCAGCTTCAATATACCATCACCAGGATCTCGAGACATAGTTTTGTATTCAGTTGAAGAACCTTCGTTTCAAAACGTAGTGACAACTAATCGTAATTTCGCTTATACGAGCACATCACAAAATTTGGAAAACCCATCATCTGATTTGTCTCAGTATATTAATTTTAAGCAATGACTGACAATCACATGATACTGATAATACTGATTGCATTCCCTAAATTACTTAACTGATTGTATTACCTAAATTACTTATTAAACTTATTAAACTTAGCACATAAACATGTTTAATTTGCCTATTTCATATTTAAAGGTCTCTAATTTCATATTTAAAAGTACTCTATGTAAGGGTGCCAGCCATTCTACCCATCAATTTTATCCAACAAAAAGAGAAAGCTGACTTTTATGTTGATATTATTAGAAAAATGCACTGATATTTTGATCAAAGAAATTTGATGAGTGGAATAGCACCCGACTACGAAAATATTTTCGATTTTATCTTACCTCAATGTCACAGCAAGTCTTTCAACGGGTCGTACTGGAATCCTAAACATGTTATGATGTTTAATATGATCCTGAATTCTTGCCAGCAGTTCATCAAAACTTTTTACTGACATCCCAAAATAATCAGAGAATTTTTCATTATAATTTCTAAGTTTTGAAAACAGAGTACTGAATTCTCCTTCAAGTAGCCTGTTAGCAATAACTGGATGTACGTGATATCTTCTTCGTTTTTTTTTCATTCGTAATCGCCTCAAATAGTAAAGAGTAATTAAACAATTTATAAACGGATACATCACGACTATACCCTGCTGTTCCGTACGGTGGTCAGTGGAGCACTGAATGCATAAAGCCGACTGACGGTCAGTGCGTGCGTACGCACTGACCGTCAGTCCCGACCGTCAGGAGAGCACTGAATACGGCCTTACAGTGAAACTGTTTTTGTTCGGATAATAAGTGGGCCATTTTCAAATTTTCTGCAGGTTTTCTTGTCCCCCTCATGATTTACATATTTTTATTGTTTTAATATCAAAAATTTTACGAACTTAAGGTAATAGTAATTGAATAAATAAATTAATTAAACATACTTCATATAAAATAAACTTTTATGCTAATTTTTCCACATTTTTTTTAAGTAACATAGTGGTTATTTTTGGTAACAGAGGTGTTTTCCATACAAATTCATTATGTCCCAGACATTAATACAGTGCAAAAAGACGTAGAAAAACTTGCTTTATTCCTACATTGATATATAAAAAAATTATGATTAATAAATATACAAATTATTATTACATGTTCAATGCTTTAAAACAAAATTTTGTTCTAAATTGTTTTCTTTTACTTTTTTAAAATCCCTGTCCCACGTTCCATGTAATATCACAGCAACACTCTGTTACTATAGTAGTTCACTTTAAAAAATACAGATAGCGCTACTATGGCCCCTGCAATAACCTCGGTGCAGTGTTTTTGTCAAAATTGTTCGAGAAAGTTCGCGGGGGCGGGGGGAACGACTGACACGAGTCAGTCGACCGCGCGCTGTGGAAGTAGGAGCGTGTCTTTATTCAACAACCACACTGTTACCTATATTTTCGCGTAAGTAATCAATATTTTACTATTAAATTTTACATTATCCATGAGTTTTAGGTGTGCATATCTTAAATATGTAGCAATAATTTCCCTTTATGCCTTATATTATGAATAATTCTGTATGAAATCTAAAATTTACCACTCTGTTACTGAACAACTCTGTTACTAGTTGGAAGTAACAGAGTTGTAAGCTGAGTAACAGAGTGGTTATTTTTCATTGTTCAATCTTATTTCACAAATTTTATAGTAAAAAATTATTGGTTTCAGGACTTTTACTTGTACTGCTGATCGCTTTTCTATATGGCTTTAACGCCTGCTGAAAAGCAGCGACGTTATAGGGAACGACGCAAAAAGGATCCTGAAAAAGAAGCTGCAAATAAAAGAAAAGACCTCGAAAGATACCATGCAAAGAAACGTTTAGTGAAAAATTTAACGTCACGGGAACACCGAGCAATAAAAAAAAATGGCGAGCTGCAAATGCCAGACGGAGGGACCGGGCCAAGGCTCTTCGTGTAGTAATGCATACTCCAGAATCTTCACCGGGAATTATGAGTCCACGTTCACGTACTCCAACTCCGCTGGGTCCAAACCAAGTTCTGCCACGAGTTCTACCGTCGAATCGCCGTTTATCAACCCCTCAACTATTGACTCCCCATGAAAGTAGCCCTGGTTCAACGACATCTGCAGCAAAACGGGGCCGGAAACAAGTAAAAAGAAACAGAACAAAACTGTTTAGAGAAAATCAAAGATTAAAAGAAATAATTGAAGAAATAAATAAAAAATATGAAAAATACAAGAAGAGATATAATAGAGGAAAACAAAAAGGGTCGAAAAAAGAAAGCGATAATTGTAAAAGTCAAGATAAGTATAACATATTGGCGAAAGCTATTAAAAACGTTACGAAAAAGTTAAAAGTCGGAAAGAAAAGATAGCTGTACAAAAAATATTTGAGGAGAAGGAAGTTAAATGTTCTAGAAAGAAAATGCAAATAATAAAAGAGTGCTTGAATGTGGATCAAGGTTACATAAGAAAGGAACAACCAAAGCTGAGGAAAAAAGTTATAAGTGACAAAATTAAAGATTTTTTTAATCGTGATGATGTATCGAGAGCAACTGCGGGAAAAAAAGAAACCGTTACCCATAAGAAAAATAAAATGCAAAAACGTTACCTACTAGACAGCATGAAGAACCTCTTTGCTTCGTTTAAACGAGAAAATCCTGACATGAAATGCTCCTACACTACTTTTACTCGATGCAGACCGTTTTATGTAATACTTCCTACTGTTGCTGGAAGAGAAACATGTTTATGTCGATTGCACACAAACGTTCAGTACTTGGCTATTGCTTTGTGTAAAAATAAAGTAATTCCGACATCAGATTTAAATAAAATTACAAAAGAACAAACATGCGATGAAAATTTACTAGCTTGCATGACAGGACTGTGCCCTGAATGTTATTTGAAGAAAATTGAATATGATAGTACAAAGGATGACTTAATAGTAAATTATATTCAGTGGGAAAGGAAAAATGAAATTGTAGAGAAGCTGGGAAAAAAATACAAAGTTACTAAAAACATAAAAGAAGAAAAGCAGAGTACTGTAAAATCTTTAATAGATGTATTTAAATTTCAACTCCAAGAGTTCAAGAGGCACGTTTATTACATAAAGTCACAATACAGAAACTACAGAGCTTGTATAGACGAATTGTGCGAAAATGAAGTAGCATTACATGTTGACTTCAGTGAGAATTACAGCTGTAAATATTTCGAAGAAATACAGGCCTATCATTTTGGAGGTTCACGAAATCAAGTATCTTTACACACTGGAGTCATATACCTGCGAAGTTCAGATAATAAAATAGAGGTGACATCCTTCTGCACCGTTTCAGGTAATGTAAATCACAATTCAGCTACAATCTGGGCTCACCTCCATCCCATCTTATCTTATATTCAAGAAAATTATACAGAAGTAAAAATCATACATGTGTTCTCAGATGGGCCTGCCTCACAGTACCGGCAAAAACAAAATTTTTATCTGATTTGCAATAAATTTTTCTCTGAATATAACTTCTATAGAGTTACATGGAATTTTTTCGAGGCAGGGCACGGCAAAGGTGCAGCAGATGGAGTTGGTGGCTTTTTGAAGCGCACTGCTGATCAACTTGTCGCACGTGGACAGGATGTTGCTGATGCCTCAAGGTTCTATTCTGCTTTAAAGGATATTAGTAAAATAAAAATGCATTTTATTACTGACGAAGCCATTAATATATGGTCCATGGAGATTCCAGATAATGTTTTACCATTACCTGGCACCATGAAAGTCCACCAGGTGTTCACTGAAGAGAAAGGAGTTCTCAAATATAGAGACTTGAGCTGTTTCTGCAGGCGCGGCTTTTGTTCTTGCATGGATCCCAAAGAATACCGTCCACTAAAACCCGTGGATAAAAAATCAATCTCTGATGAATGTGAACCAGATTTTATGAAAGAAATAGGCAACTTAGTCCATACACAAAGAAAGCCATTCTATAACACTGTCTACGGTTCTGACACTGATGATGATATCCCTTTATTAACAGTGAAGGACAACCCAGTACATCAAAAGGAATTGATAACGATGCTTTGATAGAAAAGGAAAATATTCATATTGTTAAAATAAAACATGGTGTGTGCGTGTTAGTAAAAGTTTCAAGCCTGAAGCAAGACTATATTTATTTGGGAAAAGTGCTGAGCGAAGTAGAAGATGATGGCGAGGTAAAAATTATGTTTTTCAGATCTATGGACGATACTGCAAAAAAATTTAGACTGATTGAGACCGATGTGTCTTACGAGCCTTTTGAAAATTTAATTGCAATCGTCCCAGACCCAAAAAAAGTATACAAAGGCAAAAGAGTATACTACCAGTTTGACTCTCCATTAGAAATATTTGAGAAGTAGTGT